ATAGATAGATAGATAGATAGATAGATAGATAGATAGATAGATAGATAGATGATAGATATGGCATCTATTGTGAAGTTAGTTTCTTTTATTATTTAAACTGCATTATTACAAAATAAAGATAAAAAATTGTTTTTCTTTACATCAACTATTTTAATGATTTTGTATGCATCTTGATTCAGCTATAAAAACTTCCAACTATAACTTGCTCTTTCCAAGAGCTTTCCAAAGAGCAGCCTGCACTTCCTTGTTTTGTAAGCTATAGACCAGGGGTTAAGCAGTGGTGTAATGATGGCATATGGTACTGAAATGAGGGGGTCTTCTATAGAATGAGCAGATGAAGGACGTATGTAGGTGTATATGCTCACAGTGAGATGTGATCCACAGGTGGAAAAGGATTTGATCCTACCATAAGCAGTGCAAATTTTGAGGACAGAGGAGACAATGTATAGGAAAGAAGGATCAGGATGAATGACACAATCATAATGCCCCCAGACAAAGTGAAAGTCCAAAGAAAGCACCAAAGAAATATAAATGTAGAGCTCAACCTATGTACGAGATGGTTTTGTCCCCTAACAAAAGATCTCACAGCATTTGGGAAGAGTAGTGGAAGTGTAGCAGATCTGAACAAAAGAGTGATTGCCAAGGAGGAAGTACATTGGAGTTTAGAGATGCTGATCCACCAGCATGTGGAACTCAGAGACCAGAAGCATAGGCACTGAATGATAAACACTGGATAAGACACGAAATGCTGATGTCAGTTGCTAGGGGGTCTTGCCTATAAATAGAGCACTGGGAGGCAGTTGCTCCCACCACTGACTTTTCAAATGTTAGTTACTCATTTGTGCCATGCCTCAGAATTGAATAAAAAATACCAACTATTCCCAGTTTTTTTTTTTGCTTCTGAATTCTCAAGGCCTGGGGACTTGGAAACTTGAGAGGAAGTCAGCACAACTATACATCCCATTGGCCATGTGGGAGAAGGTGCTTCACAGGTGCCAGGATGTTAAACAGGCCAGTCATTTCAAATTTCTCAAGACATTACACCTCACCAAATGTCAGTTTTGGTGGCCTTGAATAAATGTGGAAGTGTTCATGAAAAGCTGTCCCACCTGTGCAACGTCAAAGAATTGGGTGGGAAAGCCCTCTGGCCTATTGCAGGTGGTGGCCGACCCGACCCGGCCTTGGGAGGACATCGTGATGGACTTTGTGGCAGAGCTGCCAGAGAGCAATGGCCATACCATTATATAGATGTGTTGTGCTTCGTGAAACAACTCGTTCGACAGCATTGGAAGATTAAAGGCTTGAAGGAAATGAAACAAAAACAAACATTCCTACCAGATGATGTCTGCATGCTGACTAGTTTAGATTGATGAGGGGGGGAATACAAACACTTAATTACATACCCACAATCAGCAATGCAGCATTACCGAAGAGGAACATCATACTAATAAATTTATAAAGACAGCTTTTGGCAGGGTGGGTAAATAAATCAGCAGAGAGCAACTGCAGGAACGGGAGGAGCAAGGGGTAGTTGGGAATCGTGGCTTAGTTAGCATGCGATGTAGACCATAGAATTATAGTGTTAATAGGGTAATTGGGACACGAGTGCAAGGCGGAGACAGACAGCGATTAGGTGGGTGGAGTGAAGGGATAAATTACATTGAAAGATGATTGATTTAAGTGCTAACCTTGTTCAGTTTAACTGTGATTGCCGGTTACTGTACTAGGAATAAAAAGAAAAAGAAAAAAGAATACAAACCTATCTGTTTGCAATTTCTTACCTAGGATTCACAGAACCATCGCTAAGAGGAGGATTATCAACCTCTTCTCCAAACAGACCCATTTTGTACCATATTCTGGATTACCATCCATATGGAAACTGGCTAAATTATTCATCACCCATGTCTATCATCTCCACAGGATGCCCTGTAGAATAATATCGGATCAAGGGCATGCAGTTTACAGTGAAGTTCTGGCAGGAGTTTGTCCAGAGGATTGGTTCCTTTCAGGGTCTTAGCTCGGCATTTCACCTGAGTACCAATGGAGCAGCTGAATGAACTAACACCATGGTGGAGCTGTACCTCAGGTGTTATGTCACTTACCATTAAACCAATTGGGCAGATGTTCTGCCATTTGCAGAGGTGGCATAAATCAATGTGCTGCATAGTAGCACTGAGTTCAGCCCATTCAGGGTGGTCAATGGGATGGACTTTGTGCCTATTCCCAAGTACCCATAGGAACTATCCTTACTTTGCTGATGCAGTGAGTGAATGAGCACCGTACAAGGCATATGGAGTGCTGTAAAGGCAGCAGTAACAAAACTGTTCCAAGTTGGGGTGGGGGAGTGTATCTTTCAACCAAATACCTTCAGTTGAAAATACACTGTAAAAAGTTGGGTCCAAAGTTTCTGGGACCTTTCCCAATGGTGAGGGTAATAAATCCAGTTACAGTGGAGTTGAACTTGCCCTGCCTGTTGGGACACATTCACCCAATGTTCCATAGCAGTTTACTAAAGCCAGTAGAGGATACCCATATCAGGAACCTGCCACAGCCACCAAGGCCCATTAGCAATTATCAGTATGAGATAGATGGAATACTAGATTTCTGAATCCACAGGAGTCAAATACAATATCTGGTACAGTGGAAAGAGTACTCCTTGACAGAGGCCACCTAGGTGGCAAGGACATGCAGGCTACTCAATTAATCCAAAAATTCCACAAGGCCTACCTTCAGAAACGGGGGCGGGGGAATAGAAATAGAACAATCATGAGCAACCATGATTTTATTTATATAGATATATAGATATATATTTGTTTTCTTAAGTTTTAAATACCATACATAGTATCGGTATACTATGTATGGTAGTATAAATACCAAGCTAAATACCATACATAGATACATATACATATACATATACATACACACACACACACACACACACACACACACGTATAAAACTGTCTTCCAGGTGTGGCCCTGGTAGGTGGAATCGCCTGTCAGACCCCGAAAGGCTTGACATACATGGAGGGAATGGAATTTATTTATTTATTTATTTATTTATTTATTTATTTATTTATTTATT